AAAGTCTAAAACATGAGCAATCCCCAACTCTTGGTCCATCCTGTCAATCTAACCATCTGATTAATTATCACAACTACCTTTCTAAAGTCAAATAAAGAGAGATCCAATGTCAATAGTGGATAATTATGTTAATTATTTCTCTCTCCTCTCTGGTTTTGTTTGTCAGATTATGACATGGAGACATTATGCCGAATTCTGTCAGTGTTGGCAAGCTCTGCTTCCTTTCTTCCCTCCTCAGTCGCCAGCACCTTGACAGGTATCAGGTATTTCTGGAAAATAACGTTAAATGTATTTTCTATCACCATGAAGCTGTTGCAATACTAGTGTCACAGATACAAACAGGAGGAAGATCATTTTGGTTAAATCTGCTGTGTCATGAACCTACAAAATAGGGTTAGCTTCTTTTACAAATTCTTTTCCTATCCTATAGAAAAGGGGAAGGGTGGGTGGTGTTGGGATTGTTGTCCCATCACTTATACTTAGGCCTTTTCTGAGGGAAGCTACATCTGGGCTACTTGTAGCTCATTGTTATGTTCTAGTAACAACCAAGACCCTCCGAGCAATAAAGACTGTGTTCATTAAGTTATCAGTACTGCCGGTGTCCTTGCCATCAGCTGACAGGGTTATGGAGTAAGTCACTTAGAGGCTTGAATATGAGATGTGTGGTGCAGGGGTACAGAGCCTAAAGGGTAGTGAGTTAGAGGAGACAATAGCAAGCTTGGTTTAGGAGGTGGAATATGGCAATAGGGGCTAGGGAAGGGAACAGGGATCAGAATAGTGGAGTTCAAGGTAAGAGGCAGCGAGTATAAAGTAGCTGGACAGAGGGCAGAAACTCAGGGAAAATTTGATAGAAATACTGTAGTAGTGCAAAGGAAATTTGTGTCTTTATAACCATGAACAACTAGATTTGTAGGAGTTTGTTATACTTTGACTTTGGCTGAGATTGTTGAGACACTGATGCTTTAGAAAACTTTATGTTATCCCAATTATTTACTTTCATAATGACGAATGGTTTCTCGTTTTTTTATTACAGCTGATCTCCAGCGGAAGCTAATCACATTTGAATGCCCACCAGAAGTTATTGATGCTATTGTAGCAACCCTATGCAAGGTGTTATATGCATGTATTAGAAGAATGTACATGATAACTCTCAGCTCCTTTTTTAGGCCCATGTATAAAATGAGTGACAACTAGTTGCAAATAATTATAAGACCATGTTATGGTTATGAAATTCCTCAGCCTCACCCATGAGAGTGGTTAGTGTTGTAGTATAATTTTGGCTGAGGGTCGGTTAGCGTTGAGCTGTTTTGATGCTTAGGCAAACGTTGGGTTTAACGCAAGCTTGCACATGGGGTGCAGGACAATCAACTGAATCTACTTTATTGCTTGAATCAAGGTTCTTATATGCATAATGGTAGCTAAATCATACGTGATACAAATTACAGAAGATAATACGAGTTTCCCTTGGAATAAACAACTTAATTACCACGAATCCGCAATTTCACAGATGTGGGGGGACACTTTCGTGGATCCTGCGGAACTAGTGTTCCTACGTGTTTTTAGATGGAAAACACGAACAAGTTTCCATATTCTATGCAACACGTAGTAGGAATATTTTCACGAATACTCTAACAAAGGGTTACACATAAATCATATTTCCGGTTGTAATTATGTAATCAAAGCTTACTTTAGAATTGTTTGTCACACGTTGTCACGCTATGCTTAACTTTACAACAGTGTCAACAAAAAACCTTTGCTCTAAAACTGTGTCAAGAATTTTAGAAGTAAAGGTGTTGCATTTTGTTATTGACCACAATTATTATGCAATTTGTTTTCTGGAGGAATGTCTTTGAGTTGCAATGTCAAACGAACAGTTTTTATCAGCGCAATTTACCATTGACACATATGAAGGTTGATGTTTGCTCTAAGCCCAACTGAAAACAATGGAATGCTGAAAGTAATCTTTTTCATTGTTTGGTGTTTTGCAGTTAAGTAAAGTACAACTACCAGAAGAAAGGGTGAGCATAGATTTTTGATGAGTTTATGGAATTATATTTTTAAAAGATATTCTCTTAGAAAGAGTTTTGAATATTTAATTGTAAGTTCTTTTCACTTTTTACAAGTCTTTCATTTGGTAAATTTTTTATGTATGTGAGTATGTATGATTACTTGATTGATTACTCCCTCGATGGGGCTTTCCAGGGCCAATAGAAATGAATGAATGAATGAATGTTTAAAAAATCCCAAATGGCAGGAGGCAGACTAGTTGGCTATATGCAAAGTACAGCCAAGGAATTGAATTCAGGCAACCAAGAACAAATCCAGTGAGTGGCAGGGTGGAGGGCTTGAATCAGCGAATACCAGATTACCAGCCAAGTATTATAGCCTCCTGACCCCACTTCCACCCTATAATACCTGGAAAGTAACCATTCCCTTCCATCATCAAAAAATTAAAGGCAGTTAAATTCTAAAATTCCAAAGTTCATTGCTTCCAGAACTTTATAGTATTGTTACTTTTGTTCAGTGACCTGATTTCTAATGTGAGGAAAGTGAAACTCCCCTTGTCTCTGATGCACCAGTTACAGCAGATTGTCTGATTTGTAATTTGGTACATTTACTGTTTTCAAAGGGAAAGAGCGATCATTGGTGTTCTGATCTGCTGAAAGCATCTGAAGAATTTCTGTCTAACGTAACATTAAAACAGGATTCTATTGATGAAGAACGTCTTATGCGGCATTTGTTTACTGTTGGAGCTGTGGCCCAGGTTTGTAAGAGGTTATGATCATGACACTTCAGAGTGCCTTTAGTATTGGTTTTCTTCTCTAAGGTTCAGTTGAGATTTACTCAAAATTCTCCCAGTTTTTCTAAATCTAAGGGAAAAGTACTGGTAACATTTGGTTTGTTAACTCCAAAGTCATCCACTGCTTCCATTTCATTTAAAATGCAAATCCTGTTTTAGTTCCTTATTGGCTCCTCAATAAGAGATGCATATGAAGCAACATGATGTTACACAAAACCAACCAATTGTAACATGTCCATCAAGAGGGCAAATTGCCTTCAATCTTTCACTCTTGACAGAATTGTGCACAAAAGTAAAGCAAATATTAGATTATTGTGACTGATAAGGCTTTAACAAGGTTTTTTTTGTAAAAACTGCCCACAGCTAACACCAACCAAGACTACAGAGCGGCTGTTTATGTTTGTGGAATCCATGTTGATTTCTCATGGCAATAATCAAGGTTGGTTTTTAATTATTACCCCTTTCTATTTAGAAACAGAGAAGGATGCTTGGAAACAGGTTCTGATACTGCCCAATCAATGTGAATTATAAATGTGAAAATTTCAGTTGCATTTAGCTCTTTCCCTCCCAAGACCAAAAGATCAGTTTTCTGCTTTGCGTGCCCTACATTTCATTCAGTATTAGCTCTACTTATATTAATCTACTTAATTTCTTTTCATGGCAACCATTTTAAATTAAGAACACCCCAATGAGGACTTTTTAAAAGAATGAGTGTGGAGCTTTGACTCTACGGATCATGCATACTTGTGGCATCTGTTAGTCAAGTATCAGGTGATACTATGGGTTCACCTGTTGATGGAGTGTTGGGCAACATATTGGCCAATGCTCTCTGACCATTGGTCAACATGTCAATTGAGCATCGACTGGCTCTTGGTGGACATGTTGACTGATAGTATTAGTTGATGCTATGCCAACAGATGCCTCAAGTACACAAAGTACACAAATATAAACCTGGTGACATTGTGGAGAGTTGAGATTGGAAAATGTCTGGAAAGGTGACTAAAATTCCTTAGCAACAGCTGTGGTTTTGATTACCAAGATAGCTACCTACTCCCCCCTCCCCTCTTGGAAACTATACCTGGGTGCCCCCCCTAATTTTTTCCCAATTTTTTTTCTGATTCTCTATATTAAAATGAATTATTCAGCATTGTTGAAAAGGTTAGGCACCGTCTTCATTCACGAGGCTCATTAGCAATGATATTGGTGATGACTTTTGTTTCCTCAGATCCTCTTCAAAAACTAAATCTGTCACCACCTGTAAAGGCTCATGTGTTTGTGACTCTGGGTAAGTTCCATCTTAAGCCATCTTTTTAATGTGTATTGCATTTAGAAAGATAACAGACCAGTATTTACTGCTGACAAGGAAGGTGGTTAGAAAATTTGTTTATTTGCCCTAGTTGTCTAAGATTCGGGCTTTTGGTGAGATAGGGCTTATTGGATAAGATGTAAGGATGTACATTTTGAACCACAACAATGTGCTTTTTTTGTCTTTGTCAGGAAAATTGTGTCTTCAGAATGAAGATCTGGCCAAACAGTGCATTGCTACTCTTGCTAGAGAGTTAGAAACATCTGATGACCCAGCTATTAGGAATAATGTTACAGTGGTGATGTGTGACTTGTGTGTGAGGTATATAAACCTTGTTGTAATGTTATAAGTACCATAAAATAATTTTTTAAATTTACATGTAATACTTCCTGTACCCCCTTCTCCATTGCTTCCAACAATGTCTGGATCCATTTTCACTTGGAGTCTAATAATAATAATAAGAGTAAACAGTTTAACATGGAGAAACACTTAGCTAGAAGCTAGTTTACAGGTTTTCCACAAAACAACTGAAACAGATAATTCAAATTGAAAATAACATTATTAAGAATCCCAACTGGCCGAAGGCAAACCAGTTGGCTATATTACAAGCATGGCCAAGGATTTGAAACTCGGGGCTACCGTGAAACAAGTCCAGGTAGCGATCAGGGCGGGACAGGGCGGGATCACCCAGGAGCGAAGGATTGCAAGTCCGACTCGCTGACTACTCGACCACGCTGCCTCCTTTCCTAAGGTCCATAAATGCAGGTTTTCATCTCAGAGGCAATAACTGCACCAATTTTATCATATACAGACTTTTAACGTTATACTTTAATTTCAGATTTACCAGTCTTGTTGATCGTTATGTTCCAAATATTGCTGTTTGTCTGAAAGACAGCTCATCACTTGTGAGGAGACAGACACTGACTGTGTTAACCCATTTACTTCAGGTAAAACACATTTTGCATTGATGTTTTGTTTCCCACATGTCAAAGATAAATGGAGGCTTCCGTACTTTAGGTTGACTATGTTGATGTAACAGGTGATGAATAGTCCATTTTACAGTTGTGTGCTTGGTTGCCAAGCCTTTGAATGGGAGTGAGGCTAGAGATGACCTTGTTATGATACAAACCTTGCTGCCTTTCAAATGTAAATCATTTTGTTATCATGCTAAGTAGATACAGGTCTCTATCACTACAAGGTCATCTTTAGCCTCACTCTGAATCAAAGGCTTGGCAACTAAGTACACAACTGTAAAATGGCCTATTGGCCAGTAGTCAATCATGTCACATGGCCGGATTAGCTTTAAAGTTACCAAGTGTTAACCGAGTGTTGACAGAGTGTCAATGGACATATTGACCAACACATCAGTTGAGTATTGACAGACTTTCGACCAAATGAAACAGTTTGCATGAACTGCCTGTAGCTGTGATGGAAATAATCGAGTTGGTGGAACTTGAGCTGTCATGGAATAAACTTACAACTACACTTGAAAATGTAAGAAAATTAGATAATCTTCAAGATTATATAATTTCCCAACATTTTCAGGTGTAGCCATTTATTTATGTCTTGAATACATTCTAGGTATACTAAAAGTATACTGTACTTGTCACTTTGCCTTTAGTGGTTTTAGTCTTCATGTATACTTGGAGTGCACTGTAAAATTTTCTATAACTTTCAAGTGTACTTCAAGTATACTTTTGGGTGTTGCAATTGTTTTCAGGTGGGAACAAGTAGGATACAAGTAACTTTTGGTAGCTCTTCAAACAATACTTCAAGTCTACTGAAAGTATACTTTGTGTATCTTATTTGCATTACACTTTGATTATAGAAACAGTATTATAAAAGTGTACTTAATTTTTTTTAAAGGGATATATAGAAATATGATCGTGTGCACTTAAGGCATCTTTTGGTCAAGTACAGGGTTGAAGCTAAGAAACAACACTGCTGCCTGAAATTTTAAGGGAGTCGGCTCAAAGGTGGTGAAAGATAGTAAGTGTCTAACCTCAAAAGTACCCTTTTGTGCATTACCAAGCAATCACTGGCCAAAAATCCAGCTGGCGATCAGGGCTGTTTCATCCAGCAGGTGGTGCTTATGACAACCCTGAGTGTCAGTCAATATAATTATAGTTCACACGGTCATACTTGTCTTGTAGATGGCCAATGTCTTGAGCAAGGTGTTGGCTGATTATCTGATTACTTGTTAAGACTGTGAGATAGCATCTGGATGAGTGTCAGTGCATTTTCCCATCATATAATGAGAAACACTGCTGCACTTAATGCAATATTTAAAATACAACAGTAAACATATTAACAAAGATTTAGTAATACATAGACAGGTAAAAACGAATGATATAATATCCCAATGTTTCAGCGACTTCATGACGCCATCATCAAGGGTACAAATGAAAATAAAATTAACAAATGCGAGTTCAAGAGTTACAACTAATTTGCATAGGGGAGGTACACAAATACTTGAATGTGCTAAAGTATTTGTGTAGCTACCTCCCCTATGCAAATTAGTTGTAACTCTTGAACTCGCATTTGTTAATTTTATTTTCATTTGTACCCTTGATAATGGCGTCATGAAGTCACCGAAAAGTCGGGATATTATATCGTTCATTTTTAACAGTAAACATGCTTTTAGTGTCAAATATTGCTTGATGGTGATAATAGAATCATGATAATTTTATTATTCTCTTGTATGTCCAGTTTACAAAAACATTGCATGCATGCATTTTCATTTTAGGAGGACTTTGTTAAATGGAAGGGTGCTTTGTTTTACCGCTTTATCACAACAATTGTTGATGAAGATCCAGAGATAAAGAAATTTGGTTTGTTTACCTTTTTTCTGTGATATTCTGTGAATGAAAATTTTTTTTCATATGTGAGCCTTTTTCTTGATTTTCATTATTTTGTTTTCAAATTTTCAACTAAATTTAATGGACTTGATCTTTCTCTATGAGTACTGTATAATATTTTTTGATAAAATTGAATGACAAGCATGTTTTGGGTGTCTAAGAAAAACAAGCCTTCTCCACATCACATAAAAGGAGTATCCATCCATCCATTCATGTACAATGTATGTCACCTGTCAAGGGTTACATTAATGTTTTCAGTAGGGCAACTGTTTTCACAGGCAGGCAAAACTTTTTGAACTGAACTTCTTTATATGAAAAACTTTAGACCAGATGGTCAAACCAGGTGGGCAAAACCGTCCTCGCAACTGGTCAATTTGCCTGGTGCCCAGGCCCTTAATAAAACTCCTGACCTGTGGAGATAGCAGAAATTAATGGGAGGATGCATGGCCAATTAAAGAAACTCTTGATTGTTCAACAAGTTCTCATTGTTAGCACTTTAGGGAATGTATCACAAAGAGTATTGAGAATATACCTACAGATGTTAGGGTGCAAAAGGTTAAGCACTAGTGTTTGTTTGTTTTCTGAAAATTGCCCCTCTTTTCTTTGCAGCTGAGTTTTGCCTTGTGCACCTTCTTTTGAGCAGACATCCAGGCATGCTGTTCCAGCATTTTATGGAGTGTGTGTTCCACTTTAACTCCTTTGAAAAACACCAAGGTACATAGGAGATAGGGTGCTTTAAGAATGTGAAACAACCAAGGCTTGATTGCTGGCTGCTGGTCAGAAGAGCTAGTCTGCACTCCCCCCACCCAC